AGTCTCATTTTGTAGATAATTTTACTCCCTATAAGCTGTCTGAGAGTCACTTTTCGCTAAAATTGATGGTTTTCCCTGCAAAGTGAAAAAACTGTTTTCCTCACTTATTTGTTTAAATAGAAAAGTTAGCTAATAAAAGTTTTTGAGTCACGAGACGAGAGATGTCTTGTATAATGTTCCTTTAGACAATTTTACAATAATATCGCGGACAGGAATTTTTTCAAGTTTCTCTTTTTTTTCGCTAATTTTCCTGGTGTATTAATTGTCTGAGCAGCGGACCAGGCACACAAGCCAGGGCATAACAACCCGAAAAATCATCGTAGGTACTGCAAATATCAGCAAGGGCCGTGAAAGAGATAAAATCACAATATACCTATTTTACATTGTATACCTACTTTAGGAAGTCATCTGTACAAGCTGTCTAAACTTGTTTATTATTCATTTACGTATTATTTCAGGATCCCCAGAGTGTCTTGCAATTAGGATTCAAAATGGAAGAAATGGTTTTTAATTTAGCAGATACACATTTCTTTTTTAATGATATCGAGGTAAGTACGTCTCCCTGGCCTGTGATTAAAAAGTTTTAATTGTCGGCCTATTCATTTAATGGACGGATTTATACCAAAATAAAAATTCTATTCATGGAAAAAAATACAAAAGGCAGATACACATGTAGTAGGTACTGCCTGACTGTAAATGTTTTAAATGTTTTCAATTAATAATGCATAAAACGTTTTTAATTTTAACAGAAAACCGTGTTCTTTAGCAAAATTCTTCAGAAGCAGTATTTTTATTAATTCACAAAACACACATGGCACCTATGGTACAAAACTTATGTTTTCCAAAAGACAAAAACAAATTCGACGTTTTTTTTTGGGGATGAAATCAATTTAGGCATAAACATGAATAGGTTACCAATCCAGCCAAGAACGTATACCAAATGTGGTCAAAGAAACGCCCTACGAAAGTTTGACAGTCAAATTAAGGGACGCCGCCTGTTGAATGTTCGATATTACAAATCTTAATTTTTATTTTGACAGGTTTCACTTACTCAATGCCTTTGCTGCTGTGATATAGTAATGTTTAAATCAACAATTTGATTCTCACTTCTCAATTTTAGGAATGTGATCAGGTACATATAGACGACGTTTCTTCCGATGACAATGGACAAGATTTATCCAATTATAATTTCAGTACGGACGGATTTCAGGCATCCACGACAGGAGGAAATTTATGTTTAGCGACGGGAGTACGAGGAGGTGTTGACTGGATGCGAAAATTGGCGTTTAGGTACAGAAAAATTAAGGACACGTATAATAACTACAGAAACAGGTAATCATTTTTTCATCCCGACATTACTTGATGCAAATGAAAAACGTCTCCGCACCTGTCGATGCTTTTTTATTTCATAGTCCTAGATTTATTTCACAAATCATTATTTATACTGGGGTTTACAAACTTGGATATTCATATTAATGACAGAAAGGTCTTGATAAAGAAGCCGACTGGTAAAACTTACCGTACTAAAAATTAGTGGCAAGCGGCGACAGTTTCAACAAGAGAAAGAATATCGAAAAACTTATTTGTTCTTGAAACAAACTTGAAACTTGAAATTATAAATCGACAAGGTATTTAATTTACTTAAAAAAGAGAGATTTCATATTCGTATTCAAAGGAACGCGTACATACTATACTATTACCATGAAAAAGTTTACCCCCAGTTAAAGTTACACCCTATATATTTTCCCACACGTGAATAAAATTGGTTACTAAAATAACAGTGTTGCTTGCTGGGTTACCGCCAAGCTAACAATCGACTTCAATCATGCCCAGTCCCATAACGTTCGGTTTGTATGGTCTATAGTAGTAAACATAATTTTGACTACGATATTTCAATAATTACATAATATTCATTTGAAATAATTTCAGTGTGGGTGGTCTCCTAGGATCGAGTAAGAGGGAGCAGTGGCTCCAGTTAAGGGCGGAAATAGAAACTGTAACTGACAACTGGCTTACTTTGGCCAACAAATGCTTAACACTAATAAATTCCAGAAACAACTGCGTAAACGTACTAGTTACAACAACCCAATTAATACCCGCATTAGCCAAAGTATTGTTGTTTGGTCTGGGTGGTATATTCCCGGTAGACAACATATATTCAGCTACTAAGATTGGTAAGTTACAAATTGATTTTCTTCTACGTGTTATTACGTAAATACAAGATAGTCCTAAATTATCTCTATATTTTTAAGACTGACAGTAGGTACTACAATAAACAATAGGTAACCTTTTTATGTGAAATTTCTTTTAAAAACTTCTTAAAAAACGGTTTAAATTACCTAAATTATCGTTGCAAACAGTATAATATTACAAAAAATTTGTATGCTTCCCTTCCTCCCTTTATTAAGGGATGTATTTTCTTTCATTATTCATTTTCGGAAAAAGTTTGTATCTAAAAATGTCGAGAGGTAATTTAGGAGTACTGTATATTTGCAGGATCGCAGGATTTAATTCGGTACGTTTACTGATAGAGAAATTTTATTTATTTCTTTTTCCTCAGAAACCAGCAAATTTATGAAAATATTATTAATCCTCAATTATTTAAGCGAAACCAATGAAAAGGATTTTTTATTCTCTATCCGCAGTCTGAGACTAAGAACGTATACATTGTGTCTCTCAGATGCAGGTGCCAACGGCACCATAGATTTCTGAATTCAAAATAAGATTTAGACCAATTTACGAGTACATTATTATAAGGTATTTCATAACTCTACCAACGCGACACAGAGCAGGCACGGTAGAGAATCTTAAAATGTGCCGATTTGTCATGTAAAATTTTTTTCTGGGACGTACCGTTGAAGAGATATTGGCGTCTGAAGATGAGCAATAATATTTCAGCAATGCCTTAACATAGAACAACCAAATTTGGTACATGACTTGCGTTTATTGTTATCTTTAATTGGTAAAAATATGAATTTGTTGGAAGCCCAATAAGGTCGTAGGAATAGGGCGCCCTTAAAATAATATCAATATTTTATCAGTATGTAATTTTAAAAAATAATTGTTTTTGAGAAAATCGGGATTTTCGAGAAAATCGGGAAAAAGTAAAGTATGCAGTTTTACGACTAGTAGGCTATGATTTCACTTTTTATTTCATGGGTTACTGGATGAAAATACCATCTGTAAATCTGTAAATCATCACGATTGGCAATTTGATGGTAGAATAATTAATATGCAATATTTTTTATGAAATTGTTTTTGTTTCTCCCATCTATAATCCAAAAAAAATGTTGGTCAAAATCCCCCTGTAAATAAATGTTTGATTTATATACAGGGTGTATCACGAAGAGGGCCCAGTAGGATCTCAAAAAATAGTCAGAATTGAAATATGAAAAATTGTATACAGGGGTTTATCAAAAGGATCTATTAAATGAAAATAATGTCAACTTCCTCGTACTTCCGATTATACCGGAAGTCATCATCAACTCTGTTATTTTAAATGGAACACTCTGTATATTTACGATTTTTTAAATTCTACGACAAATTCTAGACTATTTTTATATAAGGTACTTACTATAGGCCAAAATGCGACAGTTTTCAAGTTACTATTAATTTTCGAACAAAATTGAGGGATGTAAGTGATTTTTGAAAATAGAATAACTAACTCCGATATTTTGCTTTATTTATTAATGGCATGAATAATTTAAAACCAATGGAATTCAACAAATTTATGTCAAATTTACAAAAATTCATACAGTGTTTAAAAACGTGTGCCCATTGTGACGAAGTTGAATTTACTCAAAAATTTCAAATGTATATTATTACATTAATGGGTGCAGAATTAAATTTACTTTAAGATGATGCTATAGTTCCCTATATCCAAAGTTATCAGCTCTTGTAAAAAATTGGAAAATATTGATTTAAAGCAATCGCTCTTTTTAATTTAATATACTGATTTTTTTTTATGAAGGTATAAAGATAATAAAAATTTACAGTTCGTTAATCAGATACCGTTTATTATTCAATTCTTTATTGCATCAAATCCACCGGATTTTTCTGTGTTGAAATCAATAATTTCCCATTTACACAAGAACTGTTAACTTTGAATATAGGGGACAATAGTATCATTTTATAGTAAGTATAATAATTATTGTGCATCCATTAATGTAATAATATACAGGGTGTACCATTTGAAATATTTGAGTAACTTCAAATTTAACGTCACAATATGGGCCACACGTTCTTAAACACTCTATATGGATTTTTGCAAATTTTATATAAAAAATCAAAGAATATTGTATAAAAAAGTTATCGAAGTACCAAAATTAATTAAAAACGAGGGTACCTATATCAATAAAAAAAAAATTATTCGCGGTACCATATAATATAGCATCTTAGTGGGCTTTAACTTTTTACACAGGTAAATTGGTCTAAATCTTCATCTTTTGATATAAGGAATCTATGTTAGCCAGCCGGTATCTGTATTTCAGAGCATCCTGTATATGTCAGATATATTTTTTTATCCAAACATTTTTGAGAATGAAATAAATACCATTTTATATTAAAAATATACAGGGTATTCTAGTATACAAAAAATATTTAAATATATGTTAATATTTTTTTGCTATGCATAAGCCGTTTTAAATTAGATATAGCCTCGGATATAGCGTTATATTATTACGTTATGTTATTATTTGAATTGCTTTAAGCAGGAGAAAATTAACACTTATCCTTCTTAACTTTTACACCATTGGTGCAGAATGGACAATTTTAGAGAAAATGACAAGACGAGATTGCACAACTTTTACGGTAATGTAAAAGGATATACATCCTACGGCAACTCTATATTATTAAATTTCGCATTCGATATATTTATGGCTTATAAAACCACTCAGGGTGTTCACAAACTTGAACAGGATATTTGAAGAATAAATAAATTCAGGTGTGAAAACTCTATCAATAGAATTTTTTTTGTAAACAGCATATTTTTTGTATATACTGACGTCGTATTTATTAACACAGCCACAAAACAGACACCAGACAAACCGGACCTTCCACAAGAGCACAGTTAAAAGTAAGGATCCAGAAAAATAAATTTGGACTTCTGTTCACTAATGATATTGCTTGAAACAATTTCTTTTAAACTTTTTCTTACTGTCAAAGTCTGATCTTTCTCATAAACAACACATTTTTCATACTTCAAAGTAGGTACTAGTAGTATAACTGTGTTGCATAAAAATTTTCGGAGTAAGCAAAATTAGAGTTTAAATGAGGATTTCGTCAATTCAGCTGTTCATGTAATAACACCATTCCATATTTTTGTTTAAATCTGCTTATGCATAACAAAATATGGTTGGATGTGTCGAAAATCGTACGAGATTGGACAAGAAAAATCGCAATATATATTTTTTTAGTACTACATATGGTTAAAGTTTAATTCAGCCAAACTAGAACACCCTGTATATAAGACGCCTGTAAAGTTTTCCATGGAACACCATGAAGATAGCTAGACGTGCTCATAGAACATGTTTGAAAAACTGTTAAGAGATTTATGTTTTATTTTAGGTAAAGAAAGTTGTTTTGAGAGAATTGTAACTAGATTTGGTCGAAAATGTACATATGTTGTAATAGGCGATGGTCAGGATGAAGAAACTGCGGCAAAGTCATTAAATTTTCCATTCTGGAGGATAACGAGTCATTCTGAAATAGCTGCTTTATATAATGCCTTAGATATGGATTTTTTATGATTTGGCTTCGCCTGTTTATTATTTCTGTAAAAAACTGTATATTTTATAAATACTCATAATAAAACACTTAAAATTAATAAATTTGATTGTGTCTTATACTCCCTTAATTAATTTTGTACAAATATTTATAGACTATGACTTTAAAACATTTAAAAGTATGTGATATTAGTTTCAGCATATAAATAGTTTAAGTTTTATTCATCGAATAGAACACAAGTAGTCATTACAAAGTAATTACATTTTGATTAGGTGTATTATTTACAAAAGTTAAAAAAAAAAATAAGAAGACTTAATTTTCTTAAAAAAAAAGATGAAACTACTTTTAGGAATATTGGAAAATTGACACAGTTGTGGCTATGTGTTTGGCTATAAAACAGAACAGTATTTCTTCTGTTAAATATGTTAGTACAACATAGACATTATCATTACATTTGATTAAGTACCTATCTACCTTGTCGTTTAACATTTGTTTAATATCATAAGATGTGGCCATAAAGCAAAATTTACATGAAAAAATAGAAAGAGTAAGTAAGTATAAAATAAAAATATTTAAATTGGTTGAAAATTCCGGAAAATTTAAATAATATTCCATCGTTAATTTATAATCATTAAATAGTTAAATGACGGTTGACGACATCAAAATACGTTAGCAATTAAATTTCCTAGGTTTACCTTGAATACTATTACTGTCAACCAGTGGCGTAACCAGGGGGGGCCTCGGGGACTTTAGCCCTCTACAGGGTGTCCAAAAATGGGTAACCGATTCGATAACCGAGTTTATTTTCATCCAAGGAAGTTACCCTTGTAATATAGTTTTTAGTATACATTTGTTCTGGACATTCTGTATATTAAAAAATATAACTGGTTAATTTTGGAAGTCAATTGCATTTTTTCCAAATAAAAAAAAAGAAAAACGGTGGGCTTTAACCGATTTCAACGAAAACACTTTCATATCTAATGAAATCTAATGAAATTTTACTTTTTATACGATATTCTATAATGAACTTAACTTCGAAAAAACGGTAAGTACGTATATCATAAAATGTCACAAGGAAATATTGTAGCTAACGACATGTAGCAGATAGTAAAAAACTAACAACCCTAACGTATGTAGCATCCTCAAAAACTTTATCTGTACTAAATTTCAACACAATCTGTTTTTGTTCATTTGGAAAATATACAGGGTGGTCCCGAGGTAATGGGCTAAAATTCATGGGTAGATTCTTGAAGCAAAAATATTGCGATTTGGTCGAACTTACCTTAGTCCAAAAGTTGATAGTTAAAGAGATACAGGGTGTTAAATGTAAAATATTATTTCAGTTTTTTTTAATTTATTCCTTAACAAATGCAAATATCCTCACAAAATTTAGGGAATTGGAGTTCTTTGAATAGAGGAACTGAAATTTGTTCACATTTTGGTTAAAGTTCATAGAGGGCGCTAGCTGCAGTAGATTGAGTGTGTTAAAAACGACATAACTTTTTTGTACTTTAAGGTATCTCATCTTTGGTAAGAAATTCTTATTTTTCAACTTTTTTAACACAAAAAAGGTACACTTTATTAAAGTAGCTATCTCGCACCGTTTTCGAGATATTTGGCTTTGAAACTTCCAATGCTGTTGCATTAAATTACAATTAAGTACCTACAGGTATTATTAATTTAGCGATAAAGTTTCTCAAGTAGGATTTGGACGAAAATCAAATAATTGACGTCTTCCACTTGTCTTATTGCTGTCATTTGTATGCTAATTTCTATTAAGTATTATTCGTATCTAATTAAAATTACATCTTAGCTTACACATTAAATTGTATACTCGTATACATACATAAATGTTAGATAGAATGCCGAGGTTTTCGTTTTTGGAGTTACATGAAATCAGCTGTTTATGGAGAAACTATAAACACTTGAGAAGAACTTTAGTAGCAGGTTTTAAATGCTGCAAAGTCATTTCGCATTAAGGATTTATACTTTAAAATAAGACAATCTTTTAATAAACGTGTTGATAAATGTATTGAAGTTAGAGGTGGACATTTTGAGCAATTATTGTCAAAAAGGCATATTTTTTACTAATGTTTACTATTTTACTGTTCGTTACAATTTTTAATTCTAAATAATCCCTTGTTTTTGACATTTCTAAATTATTTTAATTATTTCAACTATTAGCATTGGAAGTTTCAAAGCCAAATATCTCAGCATTGGAAGTTTCAAAGCCAAATATCTCGGAAACGGTGCGAGACAGCTACTTTTATAAAGTCTACCTTTTTTGTGTGAAAAAAGTTGGAAAATAAGAATGTGATACCAAAGATGAGATACCTTAAAGTACAAAAAAGTTGTGTCGTTTCCAACATCTTCAATCTACGGCAACTGGCGCCCCCTATGAACTATAACCAAAATGTGAACAAATTTCAATTTCTCTATCCAAAGAACCCCAAACCCCAAAATTTTGTGTAGATATTTGCATTTATTAAGAAATAAATGGAAATAAACTAAAATAATATTTTACATTTAACACCCTGTATCTCTTTAGCTATCAACTTTTGGACTAAGGTAAGTTCGGCTAAATCGCAATATATTTGCTTCAAAAATCTACCCATGAATTTTGGCCCATTACCTCGGGACCACCCTGTATTGCCAAAATAAATTAAAAAATATCTTTGACGTCCTGTATCTAAAAAACAAATAATAATACCTAAGTCCACAGGAAAATATCGTCTATTTTTATGTTGTCAGATCCTGAATTTATGGTAGGTACCTTTTCGAAAACACTCTTTATTTTATGCTATATTGGATTTTCTTGCAAATAGCTTCATACTATTATCACAATATTTTTTTTTTATCAAAATAATAGTTTTTCAATGTAGAGAAATTCGGAAAATAGGTTATATGCGAAAATTCAACGACATGAAAAAAAAGTTGACTATCGTTAACAAAAATGTTAAGTTGATGTAATAGCTGTAAAAAAGCTCGATTTAGCTTTTAGTATTTGCTGTTATACAAAGTTATTCATGCAAATAAAATGAATTGAAATAATTATGCTTATAAATTGAAGCAATTTTCTAAGAATTAAACACAGAATGTAATTACAAAGATTTTGAAATTTGACAATGAATATCATGCAAAAATAATGCTTACCATTGAACCAACGTCTCTAAACTCCCTCGAAGAATCCTGACCATATCCTGGCACATTCACTTGGGGCCTTATTTATTATCACTCGAGGATATAACGATAACGTAAATTACCGAATATTTCTAGAGTACTCCTCCGTGGAACTCCGATTAGTCACTTATAGTCACTAATCACTATCACTAACACTCTTTCATCACTGAACCATTGTAGATGTAATTAGGCTGCATTTGCGGAACACTGAAATACAAATATTATATTATATTAGACTTTTAGAAACACAACTTTTTTTCTTTAGCATCTTCTACTAGTATACTCAAAAAATTGCACCATAATCTTTGTTTGAAAAGTTTTTTTTTAAATCAACTTAGAAAATTGAGTTCTTTTACAAATTACTTTTAACCGTGCCTGTACAAATTTATTATTAAAGATGGTCATTGATTTACGGTTATGCTTAGTCAACTATCAAAAGATGTACGTTAAAAAAAGGCCGCGGATAAAAAATCAACACGGCTACGACCTATTAAGACGGTCAAAACGAACGTAAACTGCCCCAAATATTTTGCATATGTTTGCGAGCAATCTAGTTAAAACAACTAACGAGCGTTCAAATAAAAACGTGGTCGAAGTTGGCTCTGACACATTGGACGTAGGGGGTAGCTTATAGAGACCAACTTAACCTCATTTCTCAACGAGCTGTATTATAGCAGCTGTCAGATTCAATAACGTTAATGACTATATAACTTTATTTTAAAAAATAATCGTGATAACAATAACAAACAATTAAAGGAGCTGCGGAAAGTGTCCCCCTCCTTGTTATAACAATAAATTAAAGCAGCTGCTGAAAGTGTCCCCCTCCTTGTTCCAAGCACTTTTCACACCCGTTCCTCAAAGAATTAAAGACATTTTCTAAGATGCTCGGGGTATTGTTAATTTCACGAATCTTGTCTAGAAGTCGAGCCTGCAGATGGTTTAAATCAGGAATAGGCAGTTCAAAAATAGTGTTTTTAAGGTAAGGCCACAAAAAGAAATCACACGGCGTAATATCACATGACCTCGGTGGAAATTCATGTTCAGCATTGAGACTTATTAGTCGATTTTGGAAAACTTCCCTCAACATATTCGTCGTCTCGCCAGGCTTCAACAGAAAAAAAGGTGATATTATGAAGTTCACCGTAGTTGTTTAAAAACCATTCACAGAATACAGCCCGTCGCGGAAAATCAACTTCATGAAGTTCTTGCTGACAAGTTAAACGATAGGAGAACAAACGCAAATCTTTTTTTAACACCGTGTGGCAGGTACCGACTGATACTCCCACCATTTGTGATAAAACACGTACAGAAGTTCTTGGCGCATTTTCCATTATTTGTTGGACATTTTCTTTTAATTCTTCAGTCCGCTTTTTAGGTCGGCCGCTTCCTTCTTTTCTTGTTACACTGCCCGTTTCACGAAAAACATTAACACAACGCTGAACTGCACTTTGAAAAATTTTGTACTCAACAACGCCGGGAAATTGATTTTGAAATTCTATGAAACATTCCTCAATAGAATACTTCCATATTCCATCAATCTTGCGTCCATTTCTAAAGTAGGACTCTATGATAAACACTTTTTGTTCTTGAGAAAACACCATTTTAAACGCTTTTTAAAACGAAAATATTCAAATTGATAGCGGCGATATAGCGCTTTGACAGATGACGTTTAAGTTCATTTGTTATACGCTACGCCTTACGTCCAAATTTTCAGAACCAACTTGACCACGTTTTTATTTGAACGCTCGTTACAATATGACCAGCTGTAGATTTTCCACTTTTGGAAAATTTTAACGAAATACCTTCTTGTTTTCTGAAGTGTATAGTTTCCCTTCCATATGATTCGTTTCGGATTCATGGAAATTCTTTTCTTATGCCTAAACAATACATACACTACACAAG